TGGGTAGCATTTCGTTACTGCAATAGATTTGAATTTTCAGAAAAATATCAATGAAAACATAACTTGACATCCAAAGATTTTAAGAGATTTATAAAAAATTCTTTAATTTTATATGGGTTTCAAACTTTCTGTCTTTTTTTTTTTTTTTTTTTTTTTTTTTTTGGTTTTCCCATTATATGCTCTACGTAAAACAGTTTTTGGCCTCAAAAAAATACCGAAAAAAGGTAAATACTTAGTTTTTTAAGGAAGCATTTTAAAATTTATCAAGTTATTTTAAAAGGGTACTCCTATTATAATTAACACCCACATGAAAATTTGATTTGCATGTACGTCACGTCATGTTTAGCAAAAATTGGTATGGGTTTTGTGATAACATGTCTGATATTAGTAAAATGTTTGTTTTCTTTTAATGTTTATTGAAAATTCCTTAAAAAATGTGTAAATTCTAAGCTAATTTTTTTTAAAAAATTATTGCTTTGATTCAAACATACATACCAACTTTCGTTACATGTATTATTAATTATACTTTAAAAAGTATCATAGTATTTGGCACAATAGAAAAAAAGCTTAACATTTTAAATGAAGACAAACTTGCTATTTTTCTTTCTGAGATAAATCAGTTTAAAGCAGTGCTTCTCAAACTTTCAATACTGGCGCCCCCCTTTTCAATCACAATTTTTATCGCCCCCTTATACATTAATAATGTACTGAATGCAACCATAGTGCACTTTGATGCTAAAGCAACAATCTTTATTATAAACCGTACAAATTCATGACATAAGTATTAAATTTTGTATATGTTGCTTTTAAGCAAAAAAAATAAATAAATAAATAAATTAAGTAATAGGATAATTATCATGTTATTTTTCCTTTCTCTAATTTTTAAATTGGTGCATATTGCAAAATGCGGTGGCTGCTTAGAAGACAAAATATAGATATCAGCTTTTTTTAAGAAAGAACTCAGAGGGTCAATTTTTAATCATATTAAGCATTCCTTTGAAAAATTTGCTCTGTAAGACAAGCCCATGGAAGCCACTAATACTTATTAAACTTGTTCTTAATTTAGCATTAATTAATTAGTTATAAAATACTCTGTGCAGCACTGATACATTAAAAGTATACCGGCTGAAGTACCCGCTATTTGCACGAGTTTATTTATAAGAAAAATTTTTTTTTGATATAATCGCTGCATTTTAAGGAGAGTAAAGCCAAGTGCGCGACAATGTTTACAAAAATGTAAAATGATTTTTTAAAATCATTGCTCAAATTATAATTAGTTTTAAGCGAACTGTAATTTTAAGCCTCTCAGAATTAGCATTTAGAATTGATGTTGAATAATGAACAATAATATAAAATTCCGATGAAAATTAATTGCATTATTTTTAATATTTAAAGTGAAAAGACTTCAACATGTTTTAACCCTTGAGTAGGCACGCACTCGATGCTAATGGTCGAGTGGGGTTATTGAGTCACCCCAATCCTTTATTTATATTTATTTTTATAGTACACAATAAAAATCGTAATTCCAGTGAATAATTTAATTAAGAGAAAATATACTCACCTACTTTCAAGGACACAGAAAAAATTTCGGAAAAAAAGTTATTACACCGGGAACTCAGATAAAACAAGAACCTTAAGATCGTAAAAAAAAGTTTGTCACTCCCAAAAAAAAGGGAGATATGTGACAAATATACGAGTATTTTAGTTCACGTTAAGATTGTCAAACAGGAGGATAGTGTCAGGGCCATTGGTAACAATTAAACAGTTTTGCCAGAATTACCGATTTCGTGCACTCTGTGCTCGGCGTGACCGCTCCCGGATTAGAAGTGTATTTATTACAATATGGATGTTCTAAAAATGATGTAAAACGTTTTTTTCATTATGCTTGGCTTAGTAATCCTTCAAACTTCCCTAAATGAAAAAACAAATACATAAGAGCAGGGACCTAACTAACCGTACAAGTAAGCTCGAAGGTCAAACCGCAGCAAATACATTCTGCTGCCTACAGCTGATGGCAATAACATATAACAGTGATGAATTTTTTATATTCCTAAAATTTTTTTTGATTATGGGTCTGGGTTTTGTCTTTCCTCTGAAAGAGTAGCATTTCCGCTTTGAAAAGAAACGTAATAAAAAAATCTCTCATCATGGGACTACAGCAAATCGAATAAAACGTTTTTTATTTGGTTATAGTATCAAAAATAGCTAAAAAATGAGGTTTTGAAATAGAAGATTTTAGTTTTGATGATGTAAAATCGCAGATAATATATATATATATATATATATATATATATATATATATATATATATATATATATATATATATATATATATATATATATTATTTCCTTGTAAATGTGTATATTTTTTATTATGTCACAAAAAGTATTTTGTTTTACTTCATTCTAGTAAATAAATTTTTTTAAATCTTTTATTTTCGATGTGATCGCGCCCCCTTGTAGGTATATCGCGCCCCCCAGGGGGCGCGCCCCACAGTTTGAGAAACACTGGTTTAAAGATTCTACTTGCCATTTACATGTGAATGAAAAAGAACATAAAAGTTATCACAACGCTGGTTATTTTTAAACTTAACGGTTTCAAATTTTATGAGATCACAGAAAAATATATAGAGATTGAGATCCAGTACACACACAGTTGGATTATTCTTTAAATAACTTGAGAAAATTTAAATATTTTTTTCTGTTAATAATATCCATAAAACAATTTTAAATGTCTATTACAATTAAATTGATATTAAATATCAAAAAATATTCATTTATACACTTTTACAAAAGCATGGCACTGAATGATGTCACCTTAAACTGGCAATTAAATTGATTAATTTCATAATCTTCCCTTTTGTACGAAAATCAGCACAATCTTCACTCCCCCATCCCTCGTCCCATTTTTTTTGTATTGAAATCGTTAACTTTTCATTGTATCCTTTGTAGGCCACCAATACAAATGATTTCTGATCTGACATCTTCCATTTTCTGCATTTTTCTTCACATTGTAGCTTATTGAACTGTCGATCCAATAGCTTCATTTCATTGTTCTGGAAAGTTTGATTTATTGGACAAGAACGTTATTACCATGGACTAGGACAAAATAATCGATATCGACTTAAACCTTTTTCATCGAAAAAAAATTATGAATGCTCCATGAAAAGTATTTATTGCGGTAAACAACCAAAACACTTCTATATTACATTCCTGAAATTGCGCCATATGTGGAAGAAAGGCCCATTGACATAATTGCCTTTCTTTATTTTTTTCGGTAAATAATGATGCTGATTTTAAAAGATACTCAAAATTTATCCCTAAAAATAAACTGGGATATTTTTTTTGCCTTATTATTTCTTTTAAATATATCTTATCTTCAGCATAAGATGTGTAATCTATAGAATATAATTGGCAAGAGATAACCAATAAATCAGCGTCAAATAAAAAGAACAACTTATTAAAATATTATTTTAACAATGTTTTATTTATACCTTGAATACATTTAAATTTAGATATAGAACATTTCTTATGAAACCTGGAATCTCCCATTGAATGTTAAAATATGTACAACTATATAAAATGTAATTGAACGAATGAATACTTTCTTACAACATTTCCAGGATTGCTTATGATTACTTGATTGTAATTGCAATATACACAATTTTTAATATTAGTTTAGATAAATTTAAAGGAACTCTTGTTAGCTCTATTTCCCTAATATACGAGTATATTTTGTTAATATTGATGTTATAAATGTCATTGCGTAATATATACTTAGTTTAAAAATATATTTGCATTTCTTTTATTAGCATATAAGGGGTTGGAATACCAATAAATTGTTGAACCTGAAAGTTTTTGATTGCATTCAAAAACATCCTTATAACCCTTTTAGATTTAAAAAGGACTTATAAGTTGAAATTCTAAAATGAAAATATCTTTTACCTATCCATAGTCCCACCTCTAGAGTCAAATTCCACAAAACCCATTTTAACGGGTCTTCAATCAAACAAAAGAAATATGTTTGAACAATTCCAACTCTGTATGTCTTTTAGTTCAAAAATGAAACTATTTTTATCTATAACGCTTCTTAAAGGTCAATTTCCCCACAACATGTACTTAATGATTCTCTTCTAAAAAAACCACTCTTACTAAATTTCAAATCTATACATTTAATAGTAGAAAAATTAGAATTTTTATCTCTTATGACACTATTTTTCCTCCCCTAAAAATCAATCTCCACAAAACTTGTTCTTAGCAAATCCCTACCCAGCAAAAGAAGAGAGAGAAGCATTTTAAGACTAACTCAAAAATTGTTCAAAAACGGAAGTTTGAAAATTTTCTCTATAACACCTCTTAAAACCTCGCACCATCCTTGGAAGTCGATTTTCACAAAATCCGTTCTTAACAGATCTTAATTTTAGATAAATCACTTTAAAATCTCAATAAATTTATTTTTCTTCAATATAAATAACCAAAAGTAATGCCAATTTATTGATAAGTGAGTATTGAACAGTGAATAATCCAATGTACACTGTAACATTTTATACAACATCAGCTCTCTCTCCTCACTCCCTCGAGTCAGTCCAAACATAGTTTCTTACTGTCATCCGCTTTATCATCCTCTGTAATCTCTCTCTCTCTCGACAGTAGGTCTATTTTTCGATTTCTACTATTAGTTCAGTATCGCCTTATACATACATATATACTTATTTATTTATTTAATATATATATTTATTTATTATATATATATATATATATTTAATATACATACATATATATATTAATATCCTATTCAAATTTTAGTCGTTAATAAAATACTTTCTATTCATCCCCATTTAAGTTCAAATATATTTTTTAAAACTTGTAGGGGATGAAACTTGATGTTAATACAGTTTGTTTCAAATATTAAATCATTAATTATATTTAATTAATGAATAAATAGTAACAAACTAAAATAATAGTGCAACACCATGTATAAAAAGTAAAATCGCTCGTTGTGTCCCTGTAGCGCAATGGAAAGCGCATTGGACTTCTAATCCAAAGGTGGTGGGTTCGAATCCCACCTGGGATGGCCTATTTTCTGAAAATTTGATTTATTTTACTATGTTATTCTATTAGAATAATTTAAGGGACCTCTATACTGGCAATGTTAAATTGGCTGTTTTCGATGTACTTTCTTTCAAAATCTCTGTTATGTGTACAAGCTTGAAAACTTTTCATACAATTAAAGTACACCTTTCTCACTACACTGAAATGGGCTTTTAGCTATACATAATTTTGAATTTTTAAATAATTTATAAGATATTTCATCAGACGTAGTGAACTTTGTACCATTTTTCACATAAAAAGATTTGTAAAAAATAAATTTTTGATTTTTTTCCAAAAAAAACATGCATACTTGTGAACATTATTTTCCCAGAATAGGTACATCAAACAACAAAAATTTACATTTTGAGATAAATGAACTTTAATGTGTATAATTACTTTTTTTATTAAAATATTCCTCGCCATACTCCAAATGTGATGTACATTTTTTTAATCTCTCTCATCCTTCTCTCTCTTCCTTTTATATCTTTTTTTTCTTTCCTAACTTCTTTTTTTTGTGTGTAATTATGAGTATTTAGCCTTTAACAGACTCTGTTTGTCGAGGCGCTCGATTGCCTGTACCTTGTAATCACCAGGCTCAATACTAAGTTTTCTCAAAATTTCTAGTTTTGATACATTTCCCATATTAAATGATGAAATTGCATCATATGTACCCATTTATAATACTTCTATTTGTACAAATATTTTCTTCGGTATACAAAACCATATTACGTTGTTTACACTTTCATTGGGATTTTGTGTACCTCCTTGTAATGACTTTTTTAGCAATTCTGGATTAAATATTTTGATTTAAATCATTCATTCAACTTTTAAGCAAAAAAACAAAATACTTTGTTTACATTTTTCGCCATTTAAATGGGCGTGGCCTAGTTTCAATAATTATTTAAAAATAGATTTTAAGAGCTTCTAATTAATCTAGAGGTTAAAGTAAGGTATTTTTAGAAAGGTTAAAATCTATACAATTTGAAAATGTAAAAATCTCAAAATTGTCATATTAAGAAGATTTTAGGTTTCCAACACCTCTCTTAATTTAATGAATGAATAAATAATAAACAAAAAAAAATAGTCCAATACCCTATATAGAAACGAAAATGAAAAATTGCAAGGAAAATCGCTTTCTCTTTTGCCACTTTGTATTGAGATTTTGTCATTCATACATACATCTTTATACTATAATTATAATTATTTAATACAAAGTAGCTAAAACATGATTTTGTTGACCTAAGTAGGAATTGAATTTAAAAAAAAATTTATATTACTTGTTGAATTCAATATTAAGGAAGATATTACATGTGTCTGATGTGTTTTTTTTTTCTGTACCTACTGCCCTCTCATCGCAATAAATGTTAAAATGTACTAAAAAAAAAATTACTTTTAATCACTTCGATTTTTTACCATATAAAGGTTGAACTTCATTCCCTTTTTGGCAGTACTTAAACATAAAAAAATGAATTTTTAATTTTATCTTTTCCTTTATCTATATACCAGAAAACATCGTTTCCGCGTAGGTAAGATTTGAAATCCGGAAGGGAAAAAAATTGATCCGCTTTAATGCAGATACACTCAACTTTTTTTTACATGGTAGATACGTTCCTTACAGAATCGTGAAAAAGAAATCGTAAAACTCATGACATGGTAAATTTGGGGATATGTTCCACAACTTGAAAAATTGGTATTTGATGAAAAAGCTGTAAATATTTTCCCAAAAAACAGTTAAAAAAAGTTACCTTTCCTGTTTATAAAACAAAAGTGATTCCTTTTCATTACAAAAAAAAAATTTTAATTAGTGTACAGTAAAAATTTAGTCTATAAGTACGTAAGATATATAAAAAATTTAAATTGAAGTTAGGAATAAAACTAATTACTACGAGTATTCCTCTCTACTCGAAAGCAAACAAGCATGCACGTTCATAATGAAATAAATTAAAAATGCAATCATGAATAACTTTTTTTGATATGTCTAGTTAGACATTTCTGTCGGTTTTAATTCAAATAATTTCGTTGGTTATAACCAGGCTCAGTTTTTTTTTTCTTTTTGGTATTACAAGTTGCTTAGATCATTCTTGTGGTATCCTGCTGCACAAAGCTTAGGATTATGTTGAAATTTTAATTCACACTCTATGTCAGGATCATGAGTAAAGAAATGTTTTTCCATAATTACAGCAAATTTCAAGTCCTCGTGAACCAAACCAATTATTAACCCTCTCTATGCGCAGTGCTACGTGTGTCCCTTCTACGTTTGCCCCTGGAAATTGCAGGATGCGCAGCGGGAGGGTTAATACCTGAACTTTACCTTTGACTTCTTTATTATCATAAACCTTCTTGAGTTCGATCTCATCATCCTCATCCAAATAGCACGAATCCACAAATGTTTAGAGTTTCGAGCTGGAACAAAAAATTTGTGTAAAAGAAATAATAATTCATTAATTTGGTACACCGTGTTATTTCAAAATCGTGTAAAAATAGACCGTGTAAAAATGAGAGTTGGGTGTTTAATCATTAGTAGTAAATACAGACGGGTCGGACCTCTGTATAACAAAGTCGCTAAATCCCCCCAAAAAGTTCGTTATATGGAAAATTCGTTATATAGAGGTTCATATTTTAATATACTTTATAAACCAAATAAAACAAATTTTAAATTCATATAAGCACTATATATTAAAAAATTATTATTCAAACTTTTTTAAAGTTAATAAACATATGTTTATTTATATATCTTATCCATCAAAAAAAGTGATGCGACGCTCTTTTAACTTCGTTTAAATTCTATTTCTTTAAAACCCAGTTTCTTAATTTAACATCGCATCATGACTTAAGTTAAAATTAATTCTAAATAATAAATTAATAAAACTCATCTCACAATAAATTATACACTGATCGTATAGTTTTTAAACATTATTAAATTTATTTCTTAACACAATTTACTTTAATACAAAATCAAAATTTAACTTAGCTTGAAAGAGGTTGCACGGAGTGGGAGAATGGGCATGATCGTCGCCCGGAGCCCTGCGGATAGTCTATAGCTCAGGGATAGGTTCTTTTCTCAAAAATCAAGATCAGAGTCTGGTTCCTGATTCTGTCAAAATCGGGGTGCGTCCCATTTTTATTCAGCCCTCTTCACCTAGAAATTCTAGAGCGGACTCTTTGTCTTGTCCACGTAATTATCGCTGATTGGTCCAGAACCAGCGCAGAGATACACTGTTTGAAACCCCGAGGGTTGATGAACTTGGAAACGCGCGAAATTTGTTGACGCACCCCACAATTTGTGGGTCCATTGACCCCCAGGCGCGGAGCCTTCTCGGCACACCCTTGCCGAGGAATTCAACCCCTCAGTGATGGGAAAAGAAACGAATTCCACAAAACTGACTTCGAAATTTTGGAAGTTCTGTTGAATAATCCTGAATAATCCACGCCTCCCATCAAAAGAAAGAAAGAAGAACTGCAAGGAAAACAAGAAAAAAGAATGTCGAATAATTTACTGTATTTTCAATATTAAGAAAATAATTTTACACTAACATTAATGAATTTTAAGGACATTTTATAATTTAAAGCATACAAGTAATATTAAACATACATTATTTTATAATTAGAACACGGGGACACGGGATAACTCCACTGATGTTGAAAGAGGATATCGAAGATATTTCTAGTGAAATGCGCAATGGGGGGGTAAAAGTTGTACTTTTTGGATGAAATGTCCAGAATTATATTGCTTTCGGTGAGTTAGTATCTAATAAAACCAGTTCAAAAATTATGACCACTATAAAATGTGTTAAAGAGGGAATAACTTGATTTTTTTTTCAGAAATACTTAATAAAAAAGGGGAGAACAAAAATTGAATCACAAAAGAAAAAGTTCGGTATATAGGAAATGCACTTAGCTATAGCGAGGTTATTTTACGAAGAAAATCGTGAAATATTCAAGGCTCCAGGGAAAAGTTCGCTATATAGAAAAATTCGCAATATAGAGGTTCAACTGTATCTATTGGCTCATCTCTTTTTGTTGTTCAGAACAGAGTTTGAAATAACCAACTTGGCGCAATCGTAAGCATTTAGAAAAACACTAAACCTAAACTAGATACAAATAAAAATATATAAGGTTATTTCTCTTCTGGTTTAAATGCAAGGTCTTGAAAGGAAAGTTTTCTCCTATGAGATTTCGTTAAGGAAAGTTTTTTTTTCACCTAACCGCATCAAGATACCATTAAAATAATGGTTTGTGGTTTAGATTGTTGGATAAAATTAACTTATTTCTTTCTACGTACTAGACTAGTTTAAGGTTGACTTTGATTGTAAGTATTTGGAGACAAATACCCGTATTTTTTAATCCCCGTATTCAAAGTAAAAATAATAATAATTTCATAGAATACTCATAAAAAATAAGCTTGTTGCTAGGTTTACTATATCTAATGTAAGAACTCATGCAAAATCATTTAAATATGAGTTTTATTTCTTTGCAGGAGTGGTTTTTAGCTGCAATATAATATATTGAGTTATAAGAGAAACTGCACGTAAGTACATAAAAACAATCGGAAGATATTCACTTGGAGAACTTGTAAAGTTTTCGCCCGTGGGTGATACCTTACTTCTAAGTTATCTTCGTGACCTAGAGGTGTGGGAGTGAATGAAGAACCAGGCATTGCCCTGATCTTAAAATGTCTTTATTAAGATCTTAACTTAAACACTAACAATGATAATATTTATCTTATACCTTAGTGGATCTGAGGTGAGAAAACACACAATACGTATTACCAAATAAGCGCGACTTTAATCACTATATTTCCACCTATTCCTAATCTCAACTTATACATAGTCCTAATAGATAACAGAATTACCCTACCTTAATCTCTTGTTTAACCGCAATCCTCTTGGATCCTAAATATATTTTGTTTATCTCGCGTGGAATAGTATCCACCTTGACTTGATCACTCTGTTACGGATAGATTCACACTCAATGACGGCTTTT